CACCACCACCACCACCACCACCACCACCATCACCACCATCACCACCATCACCACCACCACCACCAGCTTAAAACCGATGGAACTATCCATTCTGTAAAGTAGCATAAAGACCAAAGCTAGCTTCTATTTTACATCTCGTTTCTTTTAGATCGCAAGATTGTTATCCGATATAGGAGGACAGTTGGGTCTATGGGTCGGGGTCTCAGTCGTAACAGTTGTTGATTTCACTGAGAGTGTTTCATTGTTAGCCAAGACGTTGTATCGTCGTATTAGAGCAAAATTCGTAAGAAAAACCCGCCGTCTTTCAACTGCTGGCGCAGGGCCTCGGCTTTCTGTCGACGCTTCCTACGCAGTTGATACAAAAGGCAGTTGTATCTTAAGTCCAAAAGGCTCTGCATTGCGGAGCAATCTTGGTTTAACTACCACGCTTAGCAGAATAAGTACTAAAGTACCGCATGTTGATTTTGAAGAACCATATAATTTTCCGATATAATGAACTTATTTATTTGGTTAAAACAGTGTCATTGAATGTACGCAATTCATTATTAAAATATTTTTATCATTAATTTTTCATTTGTGCAAATTAAAGTGCTTTACTGTAACGTTTTCAATGGTATTTGTGTTCCATTATACGCCGGTTACCAAATATAATCGGTGTACTCGGTGTTGAAATGGAGGCGTTAGTTTTTAGTCTCAAAAATCTCGTGCACCCGAGTACTTAACTTTAATGCATATGTTTGGCTGATTTACAGGATTGCGGAAGAAAACTTCGTCGTCTATTATCCATCGTATGAAAACACACGTTAACAGAGTGTTTTTGATTGAGAAAAGTTCTAGGACCCAATCATGAAAGCAGCACTTGTGACTTGTCCCAGCTGAAAAAATAAGCGTTGTATACGTACACGACGTGATAATCTGTATTTTGCCGTTGTAAAGAGAGCGAAGGCGACGTCTTTAACTTCCGTGGGATTTTAATTGTTCCGATTTCTGCTCATTTTCTTGTACTCATAATCTCATATGCTATCATATCTATAGCCGCCGTCTTCGGTTGTACTTTCGTCCGGCCTGTTAACGTTCCTAATAACAGCAGTTCTTTATAATTTTGAATATGTAAAATTTAAGGCTGTTTCTTGAGTAGATTAAGCCTTGGTAAAGCCCAGGTCACACTACACAACGACAACGATACGATAACTTGTATACGCGCGCTGATTGGTGAAAAATTTATCGTTATCGTCCGACTGAAAAAAAATCGCTCAGGTGAGCGATTTTAAAATCGTTATCGTTATCGTCTAACGATAATTTTACCCTTTTCGTTTTGACAATTATCGCTTGTTTACAATTTATCGTATCGTTATCGTTGTGTAGTGTGACCGGGCCTTAACGCGAGTCAACGAGACGGTGCTTTTCTTCTTCGTGTTTTGCTGACGAACTAATGAAGACAAGAAACTGTCATTTTATTATTGACAGGCCATACTTAACCACCAGCTCCTTTATACAAATAAAATGTTTAAATCTAATCCTACTCTCTAATACAGCTAATAATGGCAACCCAAAAATAGCTGTGGTTATTCCTGTTAAGATAATTGCATTGTTTTATTGTCTTCCATTACCATGATCAACTTCCTCCTATTGAGTTCAAATCGAAGATTCAATCCCCAATATAAACACAACCCCCCACTGGCTGACCATAATCCTATCAAATCAGGCATTTTAAGAAATCCGTTCTCACAGCAGAAAGAACTGAAAAAAGATAAAGTTGAAGCTGTTTTAATTTAAATTTTAAACATTTGCGACACAAAATGGTGGAAGTGAATCAATTACGTCACATTATGCGTTGTGACGTTACTTCCAAGAACAATGAATAAAAGGTAACGTGTGATTTAAAAATTTGGCACGGAGAATGTTCATATAACCTTGGCATTAGCCAGCCTTTCTATCAGCTCCGCAACTATAATCTTGGCATAAATTCTATAAATTGTAAAAAAAAGGCATATATTCGATGACGCAACGCAATTTACGTAAATGATCAATTTTGAAATCGGAAGTATGTGATCGGGGCGGATTATTGTTTTTTGATGACCTGGATTTATCATTCTTGCATTTTTAGGAGGAACCCAATTCGTTACTGGTCAAGTGTTTATAATACTACAGGAGGTAACCTACACTAGTCAGTACTCGCTTTATTTATACCTTTATATATATTTATAATTATTGGATGAGGCTGAGCAGGATATCCAGAATTATTTAGACCGAGGTCAATGTTATCTCCGGAAGTCGAAGGCTGAGGCAGATAACATTGACCGAGGTCTGAATAATTCTGGTATCCTGCGCAAGCCGAATTCAATAATTGTTTTATTATTCATTTTGTGACAGAAAGAAAACAAAACAAGCAACAATTGAAAACAAATAAATATCCATTGAATTGATTAACTTTTCGTAAATGTAAATACAGCATAATTGTTAACAATATTTCAAACACTCAGAGAAAATTTACTGTATTAAATAATTATAGCAAGTTTCGTACGTCTAGCTGAAATAAACATTTTTTCAATTTCCTGCGTTGAAAACGTTGCGAAACGAGCACTAGCTATTGTAAACAATTGAAAAAGCCGCTCAACTAAAAATTTCCCGCCAATTTGTATTTTCACATAAAATACCGCTGAAATATCTCGGGCGCCGTCCAATAACCTCTGCAGATTACCACTTCCGCTGGAAATTAGTGATGGGCGATACCAGCTTTTTTGGTTTCGATACGATACCAGTCCGATACCATGAATTTTGGTCGATACCGATACCAAAATCGATACCGATACTCATTTTTTCCCATTTATTAAAATAAGTTTTAAAACAAGAACATTAAAGTGGAAGTCAAGTCCGTAATGTAAACAAACGGTTTGTTTACATTTTGAACTGCTGTATGTTTTAAAACATGATGTAGTCTGTCTGAATATCTAACACCATTTTGGTTCGCTATGCTTCTAAATGAATATGAAATAGAGTTTATGTTCAGAAAAATTCGAAACATTCGAAATTTGGGCAATGTTCACATCAGAGGTCCTCACATTGTTATGAGCAGAACCGATGCGCAGAACGGACTTGATCAAAGAATACTCTAACTGGAGTACCTGCCAAATAATCGAACATAACATTTGCAATTATGATTCTAAATCTAAACAATATCAACATGTTCAATGTTTTCCTTAAATATATTGCTAATTAGCTACATGTTTTTGTTTAAGAATTAAGAACAGCAGCATGTCAACATTTTTTGTCTTCATTTTTTGTCTTTCATTTTTGTTCTTCTGTTGCCTTCATGAAGTATTAAACGATTGGTCAGGAATACTGACCAAAAACATCGCAGGCTCAAGTGGTATCGAATTACCGATACTTTTTGCGAGTATCGAAAGTATCGATACTTTTGTAAGTATCGATGATTTCGATACTTTGTCGATAGTATCGCCCATCACTACTGGAAATAGCGCAGGCAGCTACAAATACCCAAACTGATTATTTGTAGGCTCTCAGCCAAAGAAAAACCGAGAACACAGTACAATGAATAATAAAACTAACTTACTGGGCAGCTCTATCAGTTTTACATTATTCTTCCTGGTACAGATCCAGTAAGGAACATTCCTTATTGCTACGGAAACTACAGGAATAAATCGAAACTAAACTAACTTTATTTTTTCTGCATGTCAGTTCTAAACTCGGTTCTCTCAGCGATTGGTTATAAACTGTTCTCCCTAGAGTCCAGTAAGACTTAATCATCCCTTATGGGTCGACTGGCGGTGTTTGGTAATTGGTCAAACTTGGAAGCATCCCATCCGACCGAACCGAAGTTATAATTAAATCAGGCCGAGACTCCGAGAGGTGAAAGGTCCATGCAATACCGACTATACCACCTTCACAATGCTGTGAGTAATTATACTTTGATTAAAAATTTTTCGGGAGAACTTATTGGCGACCAATTTTAAAATTAGTGTTGTGTTAACCTTATAAAATTTAGCGCTTATTAAACGTATTTGCGTGACGACTGCACAGGCATTGGGTGTTATGAAGTAGATTGTTGACAAGAAGAAATTATTCTCACAGTTTAGCAGGCAAGAGCGGAAAGTCGCTAGGCGAGATAGCTTGCGTGGCACGCGAGTTTTGTCACGACATGATGAGACATGGCGTGTGTTTCAACGCACGTAATTCTAAAAGGAGGACTTTTCAACAAATTAACAATTTCTACAGCGGCATGAGTTATCGTAAATTTTTTCGAAAATACTTTCGGCGGTTATATTTTAGCATTTCTTAACGCTATCAACACTTTGTTGAGAAATTGTACAGATGCTATAATTTGACCTAGTTGCAGATGCATTAGCTAAATTTTTATCTTTCTTTTTCGACAAACCAATTTACAGCGGGAAATGCAACTATCACAAGCTCCTGCGAAAACACTTTGAGATCTATTTGAATGATTTGTTCACGTGCATGTTTATATTATCAAAGCACTTGGAAGAGCAATGATGATAAGGCACTTGACACAAATGGGCTAACCTCTGTTGTATATCTGTAACCACCCCAGTGACACTTCGGCCATTAGTATTTTTCGTACCTAGCAATCAGTGAACTCTTGATATTAAATGGTGGGGAAATCGTACCCTGCGGCTACGACGAATTTAAAGACCATTAAAGGAGAAATAACAAGACGATTAAAATTTTAAACCATTGTATGTTTCACTTTCGAGGTTAATATAAATAGATACCGTCAATATGATGTTTGTGATGTTACTCTGAGTGTGCATCCACACCGGGCAAGCTGAAAAGTTTGCCTGACCACGGTGGGAGTCGAACTCGCGACCTTTGGGATACTGGTCCAATGCTCTGCCAACTGAGCTACAAGGTCAAATCGGTTCGAGTTGGTGATATTTCGGAACTGAGTCTAAAGTTCCTTCGATATCAATGTATTCTAAGATATGACTTTTTTTGTGTGTGTTGTTGTTATGTGCTCAGGTGAATATGATGTTTGTGATGTTGCTCTGAGTGCGAGTCACACTCAGCGAACATGATGTTGCTCTGAGTGCGAGTCACACTCAGCGGTCTCAGCCGGAGTAACATTGCAAACATCATATTCACCCGAGTACATAACACCAACACACACAAAAAACAACCCGGCGTCAATAGATTTGAATCATGTTTATTTTTTTATCATTTTCTTGCGAGAGACACAATATTTTCAAGCTGGTTAACGTTTACTCCAGAAAGTTTCTTCGATCTAATATGCTTTTATGATTTGGGGGACAGTCTAAACAACTTAGTCAAAGACGTCCCTTCGTCGACCACCATAAACTCATTCAACCACGCACCATCTACTTACTGTATGATGGTGCTCCGGTGTATAAATCTATTAATAAAAACGAACATGTTTCAAAGATTTCATACACCTTATGAAAACATCGTTTCTGTGATAAATAATTAAGAGAAAACCTGAGGGCGAGGCACTGGTGGTCGGACACATGCATGATAAAACAGACGGCAAGCCAAACTGTTGTTTTTGTGGTCAGTTTTAGGTGGCTTGTGAGTGCGTGTAATATTGCCAAACCCAGGAAACGTTTCCCATGAGTATGTCTGTCCCCGTTGTCTATCCCAATTTCAAATGGTGAACTGTTTTGATAATGTAAGCGTAGAATGAAACAAAGGTAAGTAGTTTATGTATGGTTGGTAGAATATAGTAATACTAATAGTTATAAGCTTTCAAATCAACGTAATTAGGCTGTGAACGTAATTACCTACGTCTGTCGCGAGTCAGTTTTGGCTGCAACAAAGCATCACCGAAAAAAACCGTCCTATTTTTGTAAAAACAAACGAATATTTTACGTCTGAAAATCGCTGTGCTTTCAACACCCGAGAATAAGCGCACGACATGGACGGAATCGTGCGAAACCGATTTCCTCACCATGTTATTAAGCGGGATGTTCTCGCGCGAAATTTTGGCGCATAATTTGGCAATGTCCTCAACTTTCGATGCGAATCTAATGACCTCAACCGCTTAATGTGTAGCGAAATTGAATGTTTAATAGAGTCAGAAATGTCATAAGCTATCGTGTGACGGATCGGGGTAATAGTTCTACCATCTGGCGAGTTTTGAAAGATAGAACGTAACTTTATATACAGCGGGGTTAAACATAAGTCAAACTTGACGGAAAATATGCTAATTTTCACGTCCGCTCACCCAAGCGGGTATTTCATTGCGTACACCTTCGTTCATGACCGGAAGTTTAACGTGTAGCTGTCGCACTACTATATATACAACACTGCGCGCAGATGTTGGCACGCTATCCAACTTTTTATTACTTATGATGACCGTCTGAGCTAACTTGCCTTAAGGCAATCCTTGTGAATAGAGCAGAAGTGAAATGGATATATTTGGAGGTCGCAGGGGTTTTTTGAAGTTTGTGTGCGCAGACAAGGCAAGTGGAGGTCTGGTGGAACAGTAACCAAGTCTGCGCGCGGTAGGTGGTATTAGCAATGAGTGCGTGAACACTGTAGAAATCACACAACACTGTTGGTCAGCGCAATAGTGGGGTTTTTAGAACGGCAGGAGTGGCAGCTAATAGGATCAGAGTTAGGCCAGGATATTAGCAGAATGCTCGACGTCCGAAAGTCTACTCCAATTACAGAGATATAAATGGCTGCAACGCAATAAATTCCAAACACCGTATCGAGAAACCCCTAATGCGTTGTTCGCGTGCTTCA